TAAGTTTTTCCATTCAAAGCCAGAAAAAGAAACATATTCATGATATATTTAAGTGACACTTTTAAATGCACATAGCAGATGACGCAAGAAAGTACCATCTGCTTCCTTAAATTACGTGAAAATGTTTATTCAATGCTAATGAAAACAAAAAGACAGTTTTTCACAAAACGAAAAAAATCATGAAAACTTCTCGGAAAGAAATGAACTTATCATTAAATAAATTGATTTCTTTCATATAGTGATCAACGTCGAAATGTAACAAAGCCCATACAAATAAATTCTCCTAATTCAAAAGAGCGACCAAAGAATTCAATACCATCATCATCATCATTTGAAGATGTTAAAGTTGATGATAGTGATGAAAATTATAATTCTCCACATATACGAAAAGAATATGGAACGAAATCAAAAATTTCAAATTCTAATCCTATACCAAAACAACATAACCTTGATGAACAAATGTTACTTGAATCAATGTTAGATAATGATAGTGACGATCAAAGAAATAATCATCATGCTATGCGAAATAATACTAATAATAATCGTCTTCCACATAAATCTCCAATAAATACTGATTCAAATGGAGTTTTTCTATTATTAAATGCTCAAGAACATCTAACTGTAAGTTTATTATTTTTTTCTCTTGAAAAATCTTATAGAAATTCAATTCATTAAGGTTAATAATGAATTGGATTTTATTCGTCAATTAAAATCTTCATCACAAGATCCAAATGTTAAATGTATTTCAATTATTGGTAATACAGGTGATGGAAAATCATATACATTAAATCAAGTCTTTTTTAATGGCAAAGAAAAATTTCATACATCATCAACAACTGAATCATGTACAATGGGTGTATGGGCAGCATTAGATGAAAATCAACGAACACTTATACTTGATACTGAAGGTCGACTTGGTCTATCACAAAATGATAATATTCGTAATAGACTTTTACTTAAAATTTTATGTATTAGTGATATTATTATATTTCGAACACGAGCACCTAAATTGCCAAATGATATGTTTCAGTTTTTATCTGATGCTTCAAATGCATTTCTAAAAATTTTTCGAAGAGAACTAGAAAATGTTATGAAAAATTGTAAAGTTGATGGACCAATGTCAACTATGGGACCAACATTAATTGTTTTTCATGAAACACAATTTACTGAAGTATTAAGAGGTTTGAATTTTCATATGAATATTTTAATAATGTAAATAATAAGAAAAAATACTTTAGATAGTTTTCAATGTCAAAAAACAGCTGTTGAACAACTAAAAGAACGATTTGAAAAAATGAATTTGTCATATGATGCATATAGGTTTGTTATTTTATTATAAGTAACTTTTCATATAATTGTAGTTGTATATTTAGTTCAATTGAATATGTTGGAACTCAAACATTAGGTGGAAATCAAACGGATTTTAATGATATAAAAGCAACAATTACAGCAACACTCGAAAATAATAAAATTCGTTCTCCACGACGTTTATCAGTTATTTTCAAAGCTTTAAAAGTAACATAAGCAGATAAATTAATTTTTTTTGTCTTGTTTTATAAAAGTAAACATAGAAAGCAGTGACGAAACTAGACAGGGCCTGAGCTAGCTCCAGAAAGTTTTGAGCAACTTCCTTCCTAGAAATAACTATTAGGCTAATTCATCAATGGATGACACCATCTGTTGATATGAACACAGTATACAGTAGATATGAGATTGATTCGTTTGATTTAAATTTTAAAGAATCTGAATCGATACTTTCTTTTGAAAAGCTGCTACTTATCTTTGAATAGTTTGAAATAGAGATTTTCATGTTTGTTTTTAGGCTTTAAATGAAAAATTTAATCATGCTATACCTCCTGAAATGCCTTCAACATTACCTGATGAATTTTTTGCATGCCATGTTAAATGTGCATCTTGTGGGTAAGAAGTTTTTGAACTTTTTAGTTTTCCTATTATTTGTTTTTCTTCAATTGATTAGAATTAAATGTACATTAGCTGCTAATCATCAAAAAGAAAATATTTCACATCAATGTGATAAACGATGTTCATATAATAAAGAATTAGATAATGAAGTTTGGAAATGTTTACAATGTCATCGTGATGGACGTGATATAATTGTATATGGAAAACTAATAACAAAAAGTGATGGTCTTGTACAAGGACTTTTAAAATATGTATGGTCTGGTTTTGTAATTGAATGTCCTTATCATGGTGAAATCTATCGATCAAGAAAATATTGGTATGGAAATAATGAACCAAAAGATGTAACACGTGTTGAAGTTGTTCATGTTTGGCCAGGTGAAGACAATAATCGAGTGGCTAGTGATGTTACACCAAGAAAAGTTATTGAAGTTATTCGTAATGCTGGCAGGTTTGTTCAATAAGTAAAAAAGTAAACGAAGGTTTAATGCTTTTTGTTCTTACAGTTATATATCAGCTCCAACCAAAGTGTTAACAGAAAAGATTACAGATCAAATAGCACCATCATATTGGGTACCAAATAAAGATGTGAATGTAAGATTTATTATGATATATATAAGAACATGGATTAGTTTTCTTTTTGTTTTAAAGGAATGTTTGCATTGCAAGCTGGTTTTCGGATCAGAGCATTCAAAACATCATTGCCGAGGTTTGTCTAAAGAAAATTCTGTTTGTTTTTCGTTCTGTGGCATATCAGTACGATCTCTTCAGTTGAGAGTCGATTTAATGACAAAAGAAAAACGTGAACCTTTTTCAATGGACAAATACCTAACATTCTTTATTTATTTTTTATAAAAGACTTGAGAAAAAAATTTGATTATGAAAATTTATCAATTTTTGCGAAGAATCAAATTTTATTTGTAGTCTACAATAAATTTTCCCAAGAGTAACAGAATGAAATAATGATTTTAAGTTGTTGTGAAAAACTGAGCGTTATGAAATTGTTATAGCTGACTTTTTGAATTATTTCATGAAGATCAGGGCTACAAAAACTAAAATTAAATTTCCAGAGAATTTCATATTTGTTCAAACCCTAACAAAAAACAGCGAAATTCAATAATTGTAATATTTTCATTATAAAATTTTTACTCTCTAATGATCAACTAAAACTGTCATTGGAAGATTCTTAGTCTTATCAACAAGTTTCAAGTTTTTCATTACTTTTCTCATTCTTGTCTTCGGTTTGAATTTAATGATTAGTTTAACCTGTACTTCCCTAGACACACAAGACAAAACATAAAATAAAACAAATGAATCTAATAAATGCCCTCTGCAAGCATATTTATTATTCATATCATATGAATATATATGAGCCATTAGAGATTTTGTAGTCTCATGTCAGGAGTTCTGTATACTATGTCGTTTTTTATTGGATCACATTGTTACTGATAGTTTTTTATCAATAACTCCTCTGAACAATGGCCTCTCGCACTGATTTTTGCAGGGTATTTCGAGTAACTTAACATACATGTCACATAAAAATTTGATCGAAGAAAGTTCATTATCTCAAGATGCATGTATTTTAATTTGTCGAAGTCACGTTGCTAATGAGTGATTTTGTCTGTATATTTTTTCACAGCATGTGGCAATATTTTCTGTGATACGTGTACAACACATCGTGCTACTGTTCCATTGCTTGATATCAAAACATTTGAACGTGTTTGTGATCAATGTTATGATAAACTTCAGTCGCCAACACTTTCATCCGTATTTCAAAATAATTATGTATATACTCAACGAACAAGTTCATCTGAACATGAAACTACTAGTAGTGAAAGTTCAGCAGGTACTGCCTCAATCAACAGATATTTTATCAAAATACGTATATCTAATTCTATTTGTGATTTGTATTTTACAGATCCAAATTTACGTCATATTCCTATGTCAAGACGTTTTGTAGAACTTGCTACAAATAATGTTGGACGTGTGATATATGACTATACAATTAGTGAGTATAAATATAAAAACTGTAATGTTTTTGAAAACAGAAAATTGAACAATTATATATATACATATAGAACATATCAAAGAAAGTACACGACCAAACTATTGGCGACCAGATAATGAATGTCATTCTTGTTTTATGTGTAAACAGCCATTTAATAATACTACACATCGTCTACATCATTGGTATGTGATTTTAATAATTTTAATTCTCAAGAAATAATCTTGTTGATTTCTCTAGTCGGAAATGTGGTGAAGGTATTTGTGATATCTGTTCACCAAATAAACGTCCTGTACCCGAACGAGAATGGTTCACACCTGAACGCGTGTGTAAGTCATGTGATGAAGCCATGGGTGAACCGAACAGTGAATACAAATAATCAAGAACATAAACAGACATTTGCTTTTTTTTTAATGTGATATATAAATTATTTCAAAATTCAGTATTTTTTGTAGCATCTTATTTTAAAAAGCTATGACCATAGTAATACCTGTGATTAATTTATATTTATTCGATAGAGCTTGATAAGACCAACAACAATATATATATATATATGATTAATTTATAATATTGTGAGAACAAGGAAGCTAGTAGTTAAGCTCAAAATAAACTTATAAAAATACATTAAGATATGTTCCATCAAAATTCGTCTCTTAAGAAATTTATTTTAATAAAATTTAAGCGATTTCATGCAGTCTTTTTTATACTGATCTCATTGAGTCTATAAAAAGTTGTATTACGTGACTTAGCATTATGATCGTATACCTGTCTGACTGTATACCAAACAAAGCGGACATGGTTAACGCCTTAAATGTATACGAAGAAAGTCAATGAGTGTTCTTTTTCTTTCGTCCGTAAATCACAATATCTCAATGTTAACGGCATTAACATATATACGATCGTAGTATTGAGTCATATATAATGTCGCAGTTGATTGTTAAGAAATAAATTTTCTCCATAATGTTCTAACGTAAAATTAGTTTTCCTGATCTCATGCTAAGTAAAAAAAAATATTCTGTAGATTTGTAAACTATTGTGTTTATAAAGAATTTCATTGACATGTCTGTTCTCTCAATATTATTTCTAAACAAATTTTTGTTATGCATATTCTTGTAGAATTCTATCGAACTATGAATTTGTTTGATAACAAATGTTTTTCTTTTTATGAAATAAAAAAAAAACACTGAAGTTTAATGAACTTTGAGTTTACGTAATCTATGTATATCTCAATGAAAGGTACGAATATTAGCGACATCATTGTTTTCTTTTTGCATTTAATGACATCTAGTGAGAAAGATCTAATCATACAATTCAATTAAAGATATAATTAAATATTGTTTACATGATAATAATTTTCTCTATGAAACAGTGAATAATCATTATTATTATGACATCAAATTTTTATTGGATAAAAAGATGAGTCACGTTACTTACAATTAACATTAGCTATTCGTTTATCATATTATTTAACGAAATTCCCAACATTCGATATGCAAGCAGCAGAAAAAATATGTTTATGGAAATATCAATATAAAAGTAACGAAAATTCTCCTTCGTCACCAATGAATAATATTTCATCATCAAAAGGTTCGCTTGAAACAACATCGTATTTAATGTGCACAGAACGTTTAGCATGTGACACAGAAATGTCATCAAAAGCAACATATTATTGTACACAGTGTAATTCATTACAATGTATATTATGTGAAAAACAAATTCATGAAAATTCTGATAATAAAACACATGAAAGATTAAATTTAGATGAAATTGAAGATGAATATTGTTCAATTGATCGAAATCATCCAGCTGTTTTTTATTGTCCTAATTGTACATTATTCTTTTGCTATCCATGTTATGAAAATAAACATCAATATTCAGATGAAAAAAATCATAGACCACAAAAATCTAAAGATGGACAAAACTTAACTATGAAAACTAATGTGTAAGTTTTCTTTTTTAATCTTCTCTTTAGAAGAACTCTTACAAGGGAAATTCTCGAATTGTTAAAGTTAATACACATGTACATTATGTAAATCCAAATGAACTATGAATACTTATCCGTAATTTATTACTAAAAAGATACTCAACTTTTTATGGTTTTTTTTTTAAATGAATGATTTTCAAATTTCGATTTGAAGCATGGTTTTAAAGTGACTGTTTCAGATCTTATCACTGCTCCTATCATAACATACAGATATGGTATTAGTGTGTTTTTGCATCGTTCATATAAAACAAGCACATTTGATGTTCGTATTTCAGGATAGAAGGAAATCAAAAGATATGAAGCTGCTGCTCATCATGACTTGTCTCTATGCAAAATTTCAAGTCAATATTTGAAAATTAGTTTTTCTCGACTACATCATTCATTTTAAAAAATACCCTAAAAGTTCAGTATTTCCGTAGCAATAACCTAAAGGTACATACTTATTTTCTGGTATTTCTAGCTCATGCGAATTTACATAATGTACATATTCTCGACTTAAGTATACTTTCTCACGATAAATTGACCTCTTAGGATAGTCAATTTGAGTTTAAAATGAGTGATCTTAGCGAGAAATACTTCAGGTACAAGTTTCAGCTCGATACGTCAAACTAAAGTGAGCATAAATTAAATTCAATAGATGTGCACAGTTTGTATCCGAACAGAATTTTGCAATTCATTTTCAATGATTATTCTAGTATATACAGTGTTAAAATAAGCAACAAAGAAATTAACTTTTAAAAGTCTGATAAGACGAAAGTTTAGTCTCATTTAGACCATTAAGATAAAAAATATATTGCTTGTATTTTGAATCCGATGGAAGAAATTTCAAATTTTTTGATCTCAAAGCATATTTTGAGAACAACAATAAATAAGTTTTTCCATTCAAAGCCAGAAAAAGAAACATATTCATGATATATTTAAGTGACACTTTTAAATGCACATAGCAGATGACGCAAGAAAGTACCATCTGCTTCCTTAAATTACGTGAAAATGTTTATTCAATGCTAATGAAAACAAAAAGACAGTTTTTCACAAAACGAAAAAAATCATGAAAACTTCTCGGAAAGAAATGAACTTATCATTAAATAAATTGATTTCTTTCATATAGTGATCAACGTCGAAATGTAACAAAGCCCATACAAATAAATTCTCCTAATTCAAAAGAGCGACCAAAGAATTCAATACCATCATCATCATCATTTGAAGATGTTAAAGTTGATGATAGTGATGAAAATTATAATTCTCCACATATACGAAAAGAATATGGAACGAAATCAAAAATTTCAAATTCTAATCCTATACCAAAACAACATAACCTTGATGAACAAATGTTACTTGAATCAATGTTAGATAATGATAGTGACGATCAAAGAAATAATCATCATGCTATGCGAAATAATACTAATAATAATCGTCTTCCACATAAATCTCCAATAAATACTGATTCAAATGGAGTTTTTCTATTATTAAATGCTCAAGAACATCTAACTGTAAGTTTATTATTTTTTTCTCTTGAAAAATCTTATAGAAATTCAATTCATTAAGGTTAATAATGAATTGGATTTTATTCGTCAATTAAAATCTTCATCACAAGATCCAAATGTTAAATGTATTTCAATTATTGGTAATACAGGTGATGGAAAATCATATACATTAAATCAAGTCTTTTTTAATGGCAAAGAAAAATTTCATACATCATCAACAACTGAATCATGTACAATGGGTGTATGGGCAGCATTAGATGAAAATCAACGAACACTTATACTTGATACTGAAGGTCGACTTGGT